AACCACTTGGAGCAGAGAAGCAAGTGCTTGGGGGCAGGCTAAGTGCAGTGGGCTGATTGTATCAGAATATTCCATTGCATAATAGGAAATGATAGACTTTTCCATTCTGCATTTCAGCATTTGGTAATTGGGATGGTTAATATCTTCCTTGGTAGGGGCTGTATGTTCTCTGAGACTTGCTTCCTTGGGACACTTTCTGGAATGGAATCTAGCATTTCTTCTGGATTGTAAACATGTCTCACTCAGAGGCACCCATGAAGGGACTTTGTCTAGAACCTATTAAGCCCACCTTTGCCAAGGAGAAGCCTGGGCATGTTGGCTATGTCTTTAGATGAAGGGGGCTGACCCTTGTTGGCTGTGGGCTGTGTGACCATGAACAGGTCACCAGACTTCTATTTTGTGTCCATAAACACAGGTAAGAATGGAGGTGGCCAGCCCTAAGGGTTTTGTTAGGCAGGGAATTGTGATTCTAAAATGTACTTTACAAATCATGGTAAGAAATATTAGAAATATTAGATTCTCTTCTTTAAATCAAAGTAAACTTAACCCTGGGACACCCCAAACCTGGAGACTGGGGGTTATTAGTTACTACTGGGGAGCTCCTCCTGGCTTCCCTAAGGGTGCATGAGAACTGGGGGTGCTTATGGACCGTCTGGGAAATGGGGTGTCTCCCTGACTATGGGATGTCTTGGCTGCCACTGACATCCCTGTGTGATGGCTCTGTGGGCCCATTTCAAGCTTGGGTATAGGAATCTTGGCTGCTGCCCAGGGCCCAGGCCCTTCCCAGACCCCCATCCCAGACTGGAGGAGCTCCCATCCCCTCAGGAGAGCTCTAGACACCTGCTAGAGGGACAGGCATCCTCTGCCTGCTCCAACTCTTTCCCCGAGCCCCACCTACAAGTGCCTGGTATAAAGTAGATGCTGACTAAATGTGCTCACTCAACAAATAAAAGTCTCCACTCAGATGGTGAGACTGACAATAGCAAACATATATAGTAGGTCAGACAGGTATGAATGTTACAGAGAATAGCAAAGAAGGGGGTGGGGATGGAGGGGATGAAGGCTGCAACTGCACACAGGGAGCTCAGAGAAGATCCCCTAAGAAGGAGGCATGTGAACAGACTTGAAGGAAATGAGGGAGCAAGCCATGAGGCTATTTGGAGTATAAATATTTTAGGGGAGGTGGACAGTAAGTGTAAAAGCCCTAGAGTAGGAGCCCACTTGGCTTGTTTGAGGAACAGTACCAGGTCAGTGTTGCTGGGGCAGAGTCAGGAGAGAATAGGAGATGAAGTTGGGGGTTCCAGAGCTTCATAGGCCTTGTGAAGACTGGTTTTTAATCCTGAGTGAGATGGGTCGGCCATGGAGATCCGATCTAGCTGGATTCTTCTATCTGAAAAGAAAGACCATGAATGAATGAATGAGCAAAGAAAGGACACTCCACAGTGGTTACCACTGATGTGGGTACCAAGATATGTTTCATGTAGGAGCATATGCAGTGACCCCTCTCCCCACCAGTTTACCAGGACCCCCAGGGTTGTTTTGGATCTGATGGATTCATGATATCTCTAGTCACCTTCATAGTCCAGCAACTGTCCATCTGGTTGTCATAGAATAGGGAGTCAAATCTTCTGACCCATGGAAATTGATGTCACAAAACTGCGCTTACTCCCAGGAATAGCACACACTTTGTCTGATCACATCTCCTACTTGTGGTTTAGAAAGCATGGTCTCTTGAAAAGCACCAGCAGACTGAGCACTTGCTATGGGCCAGGCCCTATTCTAAGCATTTGACATGTGGTAACTGTTTAATACTCCAGCCACCCACTGTTGTAGGAATTAAGTGTTACCTCCCTCTTTTGTGCCCAGGGAAATGGAGACAGCCAGTAATGAAGCCCCTTGACCCAGGTCATAGAGCTTGGCGCCACAGAGCAGTGTGTTGAGTTCCTTCTTGTCTGACTTCAGAGCATGTGTTCCTAACTACCAGGAATCACTGCCTCTCATCTGTGCAAAACTTCTCCGAGTAGGGACGCATCAACAAATTGACCTAGTAGCCAAAGACTTAGGTGTGCCTGTTCTGTGCTTGAATTTCCAGCTCCATTCAAATGACCCAAGTCCAAACCACCCTGAGCTAGACCTGCCAAGTCTAGTCCAAATCCATGGACCCACCCTTCTCCCACTTCTCCTAGCTCCCACAGTAGCCAAAGTCCCAGCACCTCTTCCTGGACAGGTACCATCTTTCTGGGTCTACCTGGAGCCTGCCATAATGCTGTGAGGCAATGAGGTGGTCTGTTCAAGATGCAACAAACGTCTACAAACTCTGTTGCCTAAAGCATTGGGAAATTACCCTGTCAAATTCTGGAGGCCAGAAGTTTGGAATCAGTTTCACTGGTTTAAAAGATCAGGAGTTGGCAAGACTGCTCCCTCCCGAGAACTTCCCACTTCTTCCAGTTGCATGTGGCTGCCAGCATTCTTTGACTTGTGGCTGCATCACTCCAGTTCTGCCTCTGAGGTCTCACTGCCCCCTTCTCTCCTTGTGTGAAGGTCACCCTTTGCTCTGCTGTTGTAAGGACACTCTTCATGGCCTGTAGGGGCCACTCAACTAATCCAGGATCTTCTCCTCACCTCAAAGTCCTTCAGCATGCCCGCAAAGGCCCCCTTTCCAAACCAGATAGGATTCATGGATTCCAGGAATCAGGACTTGGAATTTTGTGGGAGGTGTCATTTTTCCAGTCTACCTTACTAGTACCCGCTTCTGTCGTGTGAACCCTTAGACCCTGCCTACCTCCTGATGTCTACCGGCTACACTGGACTTCTCTTGGATCCTCTATACAGGATGACAGCTTCACCCTTGTGACGCTTTGGTAAAAATTTAGAAAGGTGCTTTCTATAGCTGGATTTCAACTCTTTGTCACTCCCTTGATATGTCAAGGGTCACATCTTATGAATGGTACTTTCTCAAACCTGCCCCAGGGCCTTTGCAATGTTGCTTCTTCACCTTATTCTTGGCCCCCCCTCCCAAACTCTGCTCAAGAGTCACCTCTCCAGGAAAACTTTCCTGAGCCCAAATCCAGGATGGGCACATTCATTCTAATCACACAGGGAACAGTCTGCAAACTTACTGACTGATCTCCATTTCTAAGGACAAACTTACATATGTGGGTATTTGATTAATATCTGCCTCCTCCAGTAAACCAGCTCAGTGAAGTTGAATCTGATATCTACTTTGTTCCCCACTGTGGCTCTGGTGCATGCAGTGAGCACTTAACGAATACTCATTGAATGAATGAATGTACACACTTAGTTAAGTAATCCTGTCACCAGAGGGTGTCGAATGGAACCATCCAAAGCTGTATGGAGTGCTTTGGGACAGATGTGAAGGGTATAGCAAGCACCTTTGAAGGCCACAGCTCCTCCCGCTTTGGGGACCAGGGAAGGTGGGTGTCCTGCAGCTGCCTCCTCCTGCCAGACAGAGCCCAAAGCCAAGTGTACAATAGGGAGCTGCAGGTCTGGAGAAGACTGGCGCTCAGCCCACTTAGGAATTGCCTTCAAATTAATTTACATAATTGGGCTGCATTTTTCTGTATTAATCATCCTTGATGACATCAAAAATTAAACACAGGCACTAAACACTGAAGTTTCTTCCTCTGCTTGTTGAAGCCATGAAATCTTGCCCACTCCAGAAGCTCTGAGCATCTGTGCATTGGGGTCACCCTCTCTCTGAACCTGCCCTCTGCACTCTGGAGCATGGGGAGGGAAGTGGAGAACTGAGCAGCCCCTGATGAGCTAAAGACCCTTGCCCACCCCTCTCTTTTGCTTGGCTGGCCAGTTCTACTGCTTGAAGGGCCCTGTCCTGCAATGGAGAGCAGGGGTCTGGACCTACAGAACCCCATGGATGCTCTGGGTCACGTTGCTTTGTTACCCTGCACCTCAATTTTTCCATTTGTGAATGAAGGTGACACTCCCTATAAAGGCTGGTCACTACCCAACTATGATACCTGCTCAGTAGACAGCTATTAGCTCTCAAGGGCAAGGACAGCACGCTTAGCACTTGTCACCACAGGGCAGGCCCCAGCCTTATGGAAACTCCTGCTGGTCACTATATAAGTGTAGTCTGTATATAAACTAGTCACTATAGAAGTAGGGACTGTCACCCTTATTTTATAGATCTGAAACCCGAATACACAACATTCAAGTTGTGTATTTAAATGGCACAGCTGGGACTCAATCAAGATCATGGACTTGCAGAAGCTAGATGCTAAGGCTTCCTGTTCATGAATATGTCTGCCTGATCAGCTGGATCAAAAATGACTGTGATGGCAGTAATTAAATTTCATTCATTTTCATCTTTTTATTGTCCTTATGCACACTGCTGTGAACACCCTTGGCATATAATAAGTGCTCATTATATTAAAAACAAATCAACTCCAGGCTCCAGACATCCTGGGGAGGACAAGGGTGGCTTCTTAAAAAGCTTGGGAGGATGAAAAAGACGGTGTGTGTGGGGGGGTGTGTGTGACTACCTCTCATGTGACCCTTCCTGTCTCTCCACCTGCATTCGCCTATACTCTTCCAGTGAGTGGAGCCCATAAGCACACAGAAATAGCCACAGTAGGCTGAAGGGCAGTCACCTCACCCCCACTGTGCGCTTGTCCTCTGCAAAGGACATTTCAAGTTAAACATCTGGATATGGGTTGCTCCTTATCCTAAGAGAAGCTGTTTCCTCCCTATCGCTCCACAAGGCTGGCCTTATGCCAGGCAGGCAGTGAATGCTTAAGATAAACATTTTCATTTTTATTTATTTATTCATTTATTTTAGGTGCTGGGGATTGAACTTGGGGCCTTACATATGCTAAGCAAATGCTCTACCATGGAGCTCCAAGTTCAAGATGAATCTTTTAAAATACATTGTGTAAAATATGTCAAGGAGAGGAAATGGTAGGTCTCTTTAAAACTTTTGGGAGTGTTGGGAGACAATCAAAGACTCTGTCTTCTTTTTTCAGGTTACGGCCACATGTATCCTGTCACCAGGCTCGGCAAGTTCCTGTGCATAGTCTATGCTGTCTTTGGCATCCCTTTGATGTTCCTGGTCCTCACAGACATAGGTGACATACTGGCAACTGTCTTATCCAGGTGTTATAATCGGTTTCGAATGCTGCCTTTATTCCCCTGTTCCCTCTCCAAGTTTTGCTCCCAGCTGCTCTGCAGGAGGAAGCCTGACATCATGCCCGAAGATGCAGCCATCCCAAGCATCGTCATCAGTTCTGAAGAGCTTCCAGACCCCAAGCTCAGCAGGTGTCCCTTGGCCCCAAGCTGCAACACAGAACTGTTTGAGAGGCTTGTTGCAGGACAGAAACCGAACACGCTGCAGCAGCCCCTGCGGACTGCAGAGAGGAGTAACTCGTGTCCCGAGCTGGTGCTGGGGCGCCTCTCCTGCTCCATCATCAGCAACCTGGATGAGGTGGGCCGGCAGGTGGAGAGGCTGGACATCCCCCTCCCAATCATTGCGCTCGTGATCTTTGCCTACATTTCCTGTGCAGCTCTCATCCTCCCCTTCTGGGAGACACAGCTGGACTTTGGGGATGCTTTCTACTTCTGCTTTGTCACACTGACCACCATCGGGTTTGGGGACACCGTGTTAGTTCACCCTCACTTCTTCCTGTTCCTTTCCATTTATATCATTATCGGAATGGAGATTCTGTGCATTGCCTTCAAGCTGATGCAAAACAGGCTCATTTACATCTACAAAAACCTCATGCTTTTCTTTGCAAGGGGGAAGTTTTACCACCTCGTTAAAAAGTGAGGCTCCATCAATTACCTCTTATGTGACAGACACAAGCTGAGCTGATTTTCTCACCTTGTCTTTGAGACAATGTGGCACTGAAGCCTATTGTCTGAGACTTTGGCTTGGAGACAGATCCTGCATGAGGTCTGAAGTCAGTCTCAAGGGCCTGTGGAAATCTAGTCAGTGTCCTTCACCTCAGAACGGGATGGGAAAAACCATCACCCTCATCCCTGGTCCAATTCATTTCCTGCCTGCATTTTTGTTTTCTTGCAGTGTTGGGGATTGAACCCAGGAACTCGTGCATGCTACATAAGCACCCTATCACTGAGCTACATTCCCAGCCCCCTGTCTGCATTTTCTCTCTCTTTTTTTATGTCTACAGTTTTAAAAAGCACCAGTATAAGCAAGATGAAACAACCTGATGGTGTCACTGATTTCTTGTGACACGAGAAAAAATTTACCCTGCTGTTGGAATTAGTACTTTCAGCTGTTAAAACCTTCCTGATCTGCCCACTGTGTTCCCTGATGAGACAGAGCTGGTCTGAGCAACCTCTTTTCTTGAATGATTGCATGAATGCACATAAGACTAGCCCTGCCACTGATGCTACTGAGTAGAATTGTCACCTGTGTTCACAAGGGTCTGTGAGAAAACTTTTCTCACTAATTGGCACATGGAGAGCACCTCTTGAGTGAGATGGCTGATTAAAATATTGCCACCTGAATGGAAGGATTGGTACCTGGAAGGGTTAGCACTTGCCAGGTGGACCCCTTCCTGAGCTGCTCCTGAGTGGAGTGGCACAAGAATGGCTGCGTTGTGTAGATGTTGTCCTATCTGTACATTCTGGCATTCCAGCTCCCTTCAAGGACAGCTTCTGGTCAATAAAGTGTGGGCATGCACCAGGCCAGCTAGAGGTGCCAAGGAGTTACTGCTCTGGGAACATCTTTCAATCAGTGACTAATGAATGGGATGGAGCTATGGCACCCTGCTTCCTTGCCCCTCCCATGGGGACATCTCTGGGGTGTGCTGTGTACTGTCTCCTTGTTTCCTGGTGGACTGGAGCTTCTGTACCAGCCTCCTTCATTTCCTTGTCTCCCTTCTCTACTCCTCTGCAGGGCCTCCTGAGATCCTTTCTCACAGAACTCACTGTCACTCAACTCTGTGTCACAGCCACTCCTGAGGACCCAGCCTGGGCTTTGATGATATGAACAGATGGAATGTGATGGCTGGCTCCCGGAAGAGCACATCTCTTTTTACTATTTCCTCTGTTGGCTGTTAACAATGTCCAATGACTACATCTTTGAGATAGTCTTACAAAAATCAGCTGGGTTCTGTGATTAGCCAAACTACCCTGGGTAAATGGTGGATGAGGCTACAGGGGCAACCAAGGAAATTTCCAGGGGGTTACATTTGAAAAAAGAAAAAAGGCAGCACCTGTCTCTGAAGGCTTCACGTTCTGGTTATTGCCAAGGGCTGCCTCTCAATGAGACTTTCCGTCTCCCTTTCTAGATCTTCTCCCCCTCCCCACAGTGATCAGAATCTATCCTTTCATGCCTTGAAGACTGGCCTCAGGCAATGGAATTGACAAGATGTGAACAAGACCCATGAGACACATGAGGCACAGGAGGGGGACTTCAGACAGCAGGCCTGGGTACGAGGGGTTTTGTGGAGCTTGATGTTCCTCAAGCTACATTAGCCCAGCTGAGGTGTGACAAAGCCCCTGAAACCCAAATGTATTCACAACAGGCCACTCAAGTGGGAGCACGTGATCCAGCTAAAGGGCTATTTGAGATTCAGTCCCAAACACTCATTGGTCAACTTGCTGTTTTCCAGGCTCAGGGCATCCAAACATGAAGCAGGTACCTCCTCAGAAACCTAAAGGTGGCTTCATTACGACTGGCATTGAACCTCTCAACCACTCGCTTCTTGAGGCAATAGTAAGTCCTGTTCAAATGTAGACATGGATAACTCAACGCCCTGCTCATTTTCTTATTTTATTTGCTAGTCAGAATTCTTCCATGGTTCTAAGGAAATGACCCAGAGTGTTTCTGCCCCTCATTTTTTGCCCCTGCCTCCTGTACCTCATATTGCTGTCACCTTGGGCTATTTACTTCTGTGTCCCTGTGCAGGAATATGAATTCATGGGTCCCAAACTTCCTACACACCAACACCTGGGAGCGTCAGACACTTCATGTTGTCCCCCAGCCCCCACTGTTTGTTTTAGTTTGGGCTGTGCATCCATCAGTTTTTAATCTTTGAGACAAAATGCCTGGGAGAAAACACCTTGAAGGAAAAGATTTATTTGGGCTCATGCTTTCAGAGAGTTCAGTCCATGGTTGTTTAGCTCTGTGTTTCTGGGCCTGTGGTGAGGCAGAGCATCATGGTGGAGAGAGCACAGTGGAGCACCACTTCATGGTGGCCAGGAAGCAGAAACAGAGAGGGGATGGGGGTGGTGAAGGGGCCAGGGACAAGACATACCACAGACCCAGTGACCTACTTCCTCCAACCAGGCTCCACTTATCAATGGGTTAGCACCCTGATGATCCAATTACCTCTCAATACTGTCACCAGCTGGCAACCAAACCTTGCACACCTGAGCTTTTTGTGGGGACACTTCATAGCAGAACCACAATAGACTGCTAGGACACTTTACTGTAGGCTGGGTGGCCTAATCACCTCATATTTATTTCTCATGGTTCTGAAGGCTGGAAGTCTGAGAACAGAGAGCCAGAATGGTGTAAGAGTACACAGAGAGACCTTGTGTCCTTCCTCTTTTCATAAGGGCACTAATCCCACCCTGGAGGCTCCACCTTCCTGTCCTCACCTAAGCCTAATCACCTGCTAAAGGTCCCACCTCCACTGGGAGTTAGAGTTTCAACAAATGACTTTTGGTGTGTGTGTGGGGCGGCGGGGAGATGAGAACATTCAGTCCATAGCATACCCAAGATTCAGATGTCATTGTTCTGGGGTGTTGTCTGGGCATCAGGGACTTTTCAAAAGTCGTGGTCTCAATGTGTGTTTGGAATTGAGGACCAGGGCTCAAACTGCTCTCTCAGTTTCAAGTGCCCTTTTCTTTTATGGGATGGATGAGGACTTGCCTTGGAGGTTCACTCCACCTGAAGCCTCACCTAGGTAGTGTCCCCAGACTCCTGGAAGTGGTCACTCTTGTCCTCTCCACACTCCTACTGCACTCTCTGTTACAGGATTATAATGAGGCTCCCGCCTCTAGCTGTCCAAATAAAATGATGGTGTCTTTTTCATCACTGTTCTTGTCCATAGTCCTTCTACCCCCTGCTGCATATGGACCATATGAGGGTGGGGCTCCTGGACAGGGAAAGGGACACTGAAGGGGCAGGGTCTTCTGGCCAGTGAGGCAACTCCTGGTCCTCTCCAAATGCAGCTTCTCCTGGTGATCAGAGGGGACTGCTCCCTGCCTGGCTCAGTCTCTCTTGGATGGACCCATGGCTGCCCAGGGGTACCCAACTCTGTGGGAGTAGCTGCAGGGCCTCAGCTTGACCAAAGTCAACTCCTGAATTCAGAAGCCTCGAAGTTGCTCCAGAAGCTCCTGGACTCTAGAGGGAAGGGGCATTTGGGTGGTCATCTGTGGCATCTCCCATCCTGGAAGCAGAAACGCCCTATTCCCCTTGCACAGCTCGTCCCTGATCCCCCTGTATCTGGACCAAAGCTTTGGGTGGGTAGCACTGGCCCAGTGGCTGTGAGGACATCCTGCCCAGTTGTCCATCAGCCTGGCATGGTACATTCATTATTAGTGCCCCCTTTTTATTTTTATTTTTAATTTTAAAATTTTGATGTATCATACATTAATAATGTGAGGGGATTTCATTGTGGTCATTCCATAATGCGTACAGTGTACCTTGAACAATTTTACCCCTGTTATATCCCCATTCCCTCTCTCCTTCTTTCCCCCACTTACAAACACCGTTTGGTGGGTTTCATTATTCTGCTTTCATATGCATCTATGCAGCGTGCTTTCATCCTCTTCACCCCTCGGAATCCTTTCCTTTCCTCCTCTGCCCCACATTTTAACCTAAGAAATTGAAGTTTGGGGGAGTTCAGCTATAAGTTCAAGGTGGCACAGCCAAAGATATAGGGTGGGGAGATGAAGGGAGAGGTTCCAGGAGGTCCACTCCCTGAGAACGGGAGGAGCTGTGACAGAGGTTTGGGCTGGGCCAAGGACCTAGTAGGGTCCTGAGCTGCGGGAGATGAGGGAGGAGCATCCCCTGGCTCCGGGTGTGTAGGGTGGTCCAGCCGAGCGGCTGCATTGCGGTTCCCCGAGAGACCACCAGGTGGCGTAGCCAGACCGCGCGGATCCCGCGTTCCGGGGCCAGCAGGTGGCGCATGCGCCGCTCCTGGCCCCAAGGCTCAGCGGCTGCCCTGCACTTTCAAGGAAAGGGGGCTCCAGGGAAGAAATGCCTGCCGTCGGGGACCCCCATCTCCCTTGTGTGTGTGAGAAGCCTTCCATCCTTGCCTTCAGCTGTGGTCCCATGAGGGAAGTCGCCTCGGACTCTTGTCCTCACCTCTGTCCCTGGGAAGGAGCACCACCGTGCCCGTCCCTCAAATCGCAAGTCCTTCCCAGCTCATGTCAGCGTTGGAAGTGTGACCGCTTGAGTCACTCCCGCTGGACAGTGGTGTCCTGTGAATAACCCCACCATTGGCTCCTCTTCTCCCCTGGAGCTTCAGGCACAGGGGGTCCCAGCTTGCAAGAGACGTCCAGGGGCATCCAGCGTGTCCCCATCCTGGCCCCAGGAAACCTAGGGTTGGAGGTTCTGGAAGGGAGGTCCTGCCGCTGTGCGCTTGGGGCTGTGGTTTGGCTTTGTGCCTCTCACACTGCTGGGTGACTCTCATGATGGAGTTAGGGACAGAGCTGGGGACAGGCAAGCCAGGACAGGAGGGGCTTGGAGGGCCCAGGGCTTCCTGAAAAGACCCACTGGGCAGAGACCCTGGAGACCTGGCTGTGCCCAGCCCTGCTGGGTGACCAGACAAATGAGGTCTGCTGCTG